CCCCCCCCCCCACACCAAAGTCAAACTTTTCTCTTACCGTACAACTTTATAATATAACAATTACTTTTTAAGTTAAAATGATAAAACGCTAAGTTTTTTTTTTTTACTATGTTTTTTTTTTTTCTATTAAAATTCATGATATCCGCACTTTTGAGAAAAATAATAAAAATATCGATACTTTCCACCATCAGTTTTGGACGCATACAGACCGTCATCGCGAACGTTTTTCCCAATGTCTAAATCTTTCTATTTCGACTTCAGACGTAAGTCTCGTTAATTGAGTTTTTGGTTTCGGCTTTGGTGTCAAACGAAAATATTTTAACTTTCGGTTTCGGCAGAAATTGGAAAATCACTTTCCCTACACACCGCCACACGACAACAAAACCAGCGCTGCCGGAAATAGCCGGTACACCTTGGAAGCTGTCTATAGTTGATGTAAACATTTAAAAGGGTTGGAAACTCAAAAAAAAAAATTGACACCTGCCGTTAGTGTGCATAGTTTACAAGGAGATTTGGCTTTTCTTATCTAAATTGGCTTTGAACTGTAAGTTAAATCATGCGTGGACAGCAATTGCGCATTCAAATAATATGAAAGAAACGAAAATAAGAAAGAGAAAAACAGGCTAACAAAAACAAACAAAATTGTTTAAAGTTTTCAAATAAGATATCATATGTTATTGTATCCATCCCCATTATGATTAATAGAATGCTTTTCACACGACCACCGGGTATAACTCAATAAGTATATTGCAAAATTAAGGTTACATTATGAAAAAAATTATCGAAAACATGCCTTCTTTTGCCGGAACATAATTCATGAAGATCTATGGGAGTACAGCAGTAAATATAGTTTTCCTAAATTTTGAAATCAATTACATTTCTTAAATATTCGCCACCGACACTTTTTTATTTTGTTTTTAATCACTTTAGAGCTGGATGTGTGTAATATTGTACATTTTGTTTTTCTTAATTTCAATGGTTTATAAACGTGTACTATACATAGCTGCACCTCGTTTCAGTATCTAATATATAACGTATTTGGAGAGCGAGTCCTATAAGAACATCTCGCGACTATGACAAGGTCTCCATTTTATTTTATTTCTCACCAGCCAACGGCGTTGAGCAATACCATACTCTTGACTGGGGGCTGATTTTTTCTGTATCCCGTTTATTTCGATTACATTCTTGTGGTGATATCATAGAAGGCATCCAATTGACTTAAATTAAATTGTGGTTCTGATGCCAATTTTTTGGAAGGATGGATCAATAAAAGTTGTTGCTGCTGAGATCCCTTTAGTCCAACACTGTTAGAAATATTGGCCTCTACACTGACAGTAAACTTACAATGATTTCTCATATCAGTCCTGTGGTCAGGGCTTGTATCATTCATCTACCCGCCTGGGTGCTCTGCGTCCTCAGCTTAATAAGAGCATAGCCCATGCCGTAGCAGTCTCTCTAATTACTGTAACGGATGTCTGTTAGGTTGACCTCAAAATCAAATTCAAAGAACTCCAGGAGGTACAAAATACTGCAGCACTCATCGGATAAAAATACCTGACTGCATCACTGGCTTCCTGTGAGTGAGCGCATTAACCACACATCCCTGTCCCTTACGTACTGCTGTATGGAAGGCTCTGCATCTGAACATCTTAAAGATCCCATTGCCAAACATGTATCTTTAAAGAACCTGCTCTGTTCATCACAGTCCCTACTCAAGAGTTCCCAGTATGGATGGACACAGATAAAAAGTCACTCGGAGTGCGCTCTTTTGAAGCAATAGCGCCTAAATTGCGGAACAGTTTGTCTCAATCTTTGAGATAAATGATAAAAACCGATTAAGAGACTTTAAAGACGTTTTTACTTTAAATAGAGTTTATGAAATCAGAGAACTTTTCGACACAAGTGCTATATAAGTAATTAATCATCATCATATTTTTTTAAAAATATTTTTTTAAATTACTTTATATTCTTTTTTAGAAACAAAAGAATAGGACAGTAACAGCCGACATACAACAGCTTGTGTTCAAACACATGCGGCTTATATTTCATTATATCATAATAATTATTATTTTGAAAAAGGGTAATCCCACGCTAACAATTAAATAAAAGAGCTTTTAATCCCTTTTAAATAAAACGAAAAGCATTTTTTCTTCTTTTTTAATAAAAATGTAATTGACTAAAAAAAACAACACTAAAAAGATATTGTTTAAGAAAATTTATTTTAATTTTAGTCAAATAGATTATAAAGAATAGTCTAATTTATTATTTTTTTTTTACACAAATTTATAATTGTCCAAGGCCGGGTATAGCTGGTAAATACAATTAGAAATAAATGATAAATAAAGTCAATCACAGTGCAATCATACTCTTTTCATGGTAGAAGTTTACTCATAATCTAAGGGAGCTAAGCAGTCAACCATTTTTTAACAGATGTTGAATGATTTTAAATCCCTTGAAAGTTGCAATGAAAATTTATTTTTTGACTTAATAGCTTAAAAAGAGGTGGAAACTGGAGCTAAAACAAATCATTATTTTTGGAAGGATTAAGTAAATGAAGGAAAAATAATTTTTTGGGGTCTCTCTTCGGTCCAAACCGTACGCAATATGTACCCCTTTTACAACAGTATTCTCCTTTTATCTGATATTTGTACTTCATTTTTGACAAAAATTATCTTTAGTGTTCTGATTTTGATAAAAATCATTGGAGGAATAATGTTATATATCTTGCCCCTCCCAATAATTTCATTCCCTTTGCTCCTCTTAAGAATGATGTATATCCTGGTCTTCCCAATGGCAGACAGATGAAAAGATTTTTTTAAAATCCTAAGAAATATCTGATTGATAGAAGCATGAAAATCCATTTCAACGACTTACTGCAAAAGTGTCTTTGAACCTCCGGGACATTTTTTTTTTTGAGACCCCATCAAGCATTACTTAACACTTCAATATAGTTTTGGAGTATAACAAAAACATAAGAACAAAGTAATGTATTACTGAAATTGACTTTAGAAAATTTAAATTTGTATTTTGATCGATTTCAAAAAAAAATGGCCGAGACATTCTATTGATGAGTTATTAATCAACTAAATATCATTTATCGCAAAGATGACGTCAAAGTTTACTCATGGGAGTGATTCAATTAAATTATGAAAATTGAAACAAAATCACTGAATTCTTTAGAGTCCAGGGAATCATTAATGGCCGATTATGATTGTCTATGTCAATCTTACTTCAAAGCGTTGCCACTGAATCATCATGGCATATAAAAAAAATTAAAAAAAACGGCTGATTACAATTAGAGAAACAAAACAATGACACAAATCAATCGAAAAAGAATCTAAAATATATATGAAAAAAATACATAATTTTAAGTCTAAAAAAAAAAATAATTGTAAAAAGTACATCTTCGAAAATGAAGTATCAAAGTTTTGTTTACACTTCAAATAAATTGAACATTTTAGTAGAAATTTAGAAGTATTTTAAAAATATCTTCTGTTATTATGGACAAAATAAATTATTAAAAACCTTATAAAAGGGCCATATTTAACATGAATCCAAAAGTTGCAGCCAACCAAACTAATAAGAAAATAACAAACGACACAGAATCAATGTGTTTCCCGATTAGTTTATACTTGTTGGCTTTCGGTACCTCCCCTTGTTTCATCTCTGTTGCTCGCTTATTTCCCTTTTCATCAGAAGATGGCTGGACAGTATCCGACAATGAAGCATTTGATCCAAATAACGACAAAACTTTTCTAGCGGAGACTTGCTTGCGTTCTGTTGCCGGTGCCTCAAATGCCGAAACGACATTTCGCATTTTCGTAACTTTTGATAACGCCCTTCTGAACCGCGACTTGACTTTCTGATGGGTCGCTTCCTCCTGTTTCAAATATTAACCAAAAATTAATCCAAATTCATTTCTTTATGTACATCATGATGGTAAAGTTGTTTCTTTTACAATGTCAGGGCCGAGGATTTTATAAATGCTCACAGCTATAATAGCACACGTGTATACGGGAAAATAAATTAATTAGTTAACACATTCCTAATCAATTAGAAATAATCCGCTTAAAAATTTTTTACAGTAATTTTTTTTTTTTTTTTTTTAAAGTTTTTTTTTTTTTTTTTTTTTTTTTTTTTTTTTAAATTTTTTTTTTTTTTTTTTTTTTTTTTTTTTGCAATAGTGGTTATTAACTTAACTTACCCCCTCCTTATGATGCAAGTAGACGATGATGATACTGTCGATGACTGCCAGCATGGACAAGAAGAGTAGGAAGAATAGGTAGATGGTGACATTGGGCATGTTTAAGGACGACCTGGGCAGCATGCCAGTAACGACACCCATAAAAACGGACAGAGCCAGTAGGACAGTAATTCCTGGAGATTGTAAAATTTAAAAATTAATCATGATGATGTATACGATAGTATAATGATGTTTTAACACAAGTACAGTCAAATGACATTAAAGCGAATTCTTCACTATGTACCCATGCACATCTTTGGGCATCAGGGGCGTCAACAATTTTTAAGCAATTTTTGACCCCACCCTTGTCACAACTGTAAAATGTTCAGTGACCCCCCCCCCCAGTAATTATGTCAACATTTTTATACCTTTCCCCCCCCCCCCAAAAAAAAAGGTAAATATATAAATAAATAAATATTATATAAATAAAAATATAAATACATTTTACTTTTTGATGATCCATTTTAATAACATGTAAAAGTAGCAAAAACATTTTATCTTCTCTTTAGCTTGTTAATCAACAAGTTTAAAAAGTTTTTACTCTTAAATTTTATAAAGCAGAATCAATGAAAAGGTTGTTTAAGGACTAATTATCATTGTTTGTGGAGGTAGAAATATGATTAGTGTCGGTATAGCAGACAATTGGAGCATAGTTTCTAGCTGCTATCATCTTCCCAGGAGTAGCCAGGTGTTGCTCTATCGTAACAATGGGCACGGTAGCTGCTTTATTATTTTCATCTTGCGGCACTGATACACTAGACACGTCAACATCATTCTCATCTAATATTCAGAACTTGAAATAGAAGCATGGTCAGTGTGAGCAATAATTCCCATAAGATATCTCTCTGTCTCCTGGCAGCTACTTGCATTAGTCGAATCCCTATTTGTTAAGGAACAGATGCTAATTACTTATGCATTGTCGGTGCTGTGTAAGATGCTATTTCAACATGACTTTGATGCAAATTAGAGGTTACAGATTTTCAAAATCCGTTCAAGCAGCGATGTTATTATTGTTATTCAATTTACTTTAGCCGAATTCTCAAAATACCGTATTCCTATCTATCAATTTAATTTATCTGGATTGCATATGACACTTGAACCTTGCCCTTGTTCCATACCCGCAACATAATCGCAAACACACTGCCCAAGTCATTTGAGACAAACAGAATCTACAGATGAAGAGATGCCAACTTTTGAATTCTCTTGCACTAACAAAGTAAGCTAACATTCTGACCAGCCATCAGCAGTGGACAGACAGACACACATTTAATAGATCTTATATTATGATAGCCTAAAATAATATAACTATTTTAATTTACCTCAGTAAATATATTAAAATAATGTAAAAACGCAGTCAATTTTTAAGATTAAAATTTTAACAAAGAACACATGACTGTTGGCGTCAACTTATCTAACACCCCTCCCACTTTTTAACAATTGTTAAACATTTCCGAACCCCCCTCCCCCCTTTTTTGTTGACATAATTAATGGACGACCCCATAGAGATTGGAATCTATCAAAACCAGAAGAGAACACATCGAACCGCAACACTGCTGGCGCATGAACCCGAACTTCTAAAAGATGGTTCGATTCTCATCTTGAGCGAAAATATAAAAAATCGGGATAACTGCGCTCAAGGAAGTTCTTAAGAACACCGCAGGTGTGATGGGTGCGCTATATTTTCTTTTTTATACGGAGATATTTAATGTAACCAACACTGTACGTGTAAAAAGGGATGCGACATCCGAATATTATTACAGTTCATAGGTCCTGGATAGCAATAATTAGGGATATTGTAAAGTGCGCTACTTGAGTCCATGTTTTGTCAAGTAATTTTAGCAGATGGAAAGTTAACGCATTGTGACCGTCATTGTTTGGCTTGTTATAGATAGTAATACATATATTTCCGGTCCGTCAGTCTTAGCGGATACTGCATGCGCATGTCATACATTAAAATGTTTTTGTCCACTAATTATTCGATCTTGCTTAAAGAGTTCTGCCTACTATGACGTCAATATAGCTAATATTGGTGTAAAAATGCCAAGTTTTAACAATTATTGGTCAAGTAGATCTTTGTGCAAACGCATTCAAATTTTAAAAAAAAAATTATCCAGCGCTATCCACTGAAAATTGTTTTCACTTGCCAATCTTTGTAAGAGGATGTTGTAATTCAGTGTTTCTCAAACTTCCTAATGGCGCGACCCTTACTTACAGTTCCTCATGTTGTGGTGACCCACAACCACAAAGTCATTTTCGATACTACTTAATAACTGCAGAGTATATGTATTTTCTGATGGTCTTAGGAGACCCCTAGAAAAGGGTCGTGCGACCCTCAAAGGGGTCGCGACCGACAGGTTGAGAACCGCTGGTGTAGTTTCTTTCAGAAATCTTTCAGAGACACCTCTTATAGACACCTGACGACCGATATGCCTAAAAGCAATCGATATATCATAAGCAAATCACTGGACACTTACACAATAATTTTATATCAATTTTAAATAGATATCTTGTGATAATAAATAATTTTTATCAAATCAAGATTCTTGGTATTAAAATATGTGATGTCAACAAAACCATAATTTACCGTAACCGATCTTCTCCCCTGACTCCACTGGAATGACGAACACAAGAATGTTGAGAAATGACAGGAAGACAACCGGTAAAATAACGGTCAGTATTAGGAAAGCTGGTCGTCTCTTTAGGAAAAACTTCATCTGAAAAATATTTTTTTTTCTTATTGAAATTTTTTAGCCTATTAATATTATATTATCAAAAATTGCATAGCAATATACTTTTTATTATTCATCTTGTTGGAAAGATCAAATAAAATTTATATTTTTTATTATTCATCTTGTTGGAAAGATCAAATAAAATTTATATTTTTTATTATTCATCTTGTTGGAAAGATCAAATAAAATTTTTAAAACCACTTTTTCGCAAATATTTATTGTAATAATCGAAAACAGTTATTGTATAAATTTGCACTTTGGGCATCTGTCACCTTCATTTTTACTTATACATTTAACCAAGATGAGAAGTCCAGTTTGATCCATCGGCTGACTCAGCATTTAAAACGATGAATTCATCAAGATCAACTTGGCGTAGATATTGAGTTTTAATACATTTATCTACCGTGTTACGTGGAACGTGTTAAAATTAAGTAATTGAACTGACATCATCATCATTAATGGCACTACAGCCCATGTAGGGCCCTGACCTGCTCCACCACATCCTTCCATTCAGAGCGATCCATGGCTTTCCGTCTCCATGCTCAAACCCCCAACTGGTGTAAATCTGTCTCCACGTCATCAATCCACCTCATCCTTGGGCGACCGATGAGTCGTCTGCCCCTAGGCTTCTGCCTGTATATAATTTTGACTGATCTGCAATCCGGCATCCTTTCAACATGACCTGCCCAGCGTAGTCTGCCTTTTTTTTATCATTGTGACTATGGGTGGTTCTTTGTACAAATAGTAAAGTTCTTGGTTTGTACGTATTCTCCAGATATCATTTTTCTATCACTGGTCCTGTTACGAAAGTAAAACCCCAATCAAACTGAACTGACACCAAAACCAAATAAAAAATTCTAGTTTGAGAATACCTGAATGCAAGACAGATCAGCAATTCTAGCGTTAAAGTTTCGTATGATTAGTTCTGTCGATAGTAGTTCCCACTCTCCATTAGTGATGAAATAATTTAAAGAAACGTTGGGAAAGACGGCGACAAACTGCAGATGCTCCGTGCTATATCTCAGAGCCACCAGCTGGAGATGAAAATCGTGTAGGTCAATAATTATTATTTTAATATTTAACATCCCCGTTTTGAAAATCCTGATGAAATTTTGTAACAGTGTCTTCCTAACCCTAAAATGAAGAGGATTCTAATTTGTCAGGGGGTCACAGAACCATGACTGAACAAATAAATCGGTCAAAGAGACTCATCAGACCTGTAACAGAACTATTTAAGGTGAGGAAGACACCCTGAGCAATGAAATACACCACCCCACTCTGCCCCAACCTTGATGTTGATCGGAGCAAAACGTAGTTGGCTGAAGTATTAAATAATAGGCCATCCTGGTGCTTGACCTGCAAATATGAAAAACGGCCACCATCTTAATTAAAGTCTAGAGCAATACCCAGAACTATCAGCAACAACAACAAAAAGTTCTGATCTATGTAGTAAATAAGTATCTTTTCCTTTACTTTGATGTTAGGATTTCACGATATAATTTTGATATTCATATGAAAAAATTTGATGAATATAAAATTGTACTTAAAGCTGATGTGTTGAAATTCTGTTCATATTATTCTTTTTTAGCACCAGTGCTAATTTTTTTTTTTTTAAAGTTCTGTGAATTATATCGATGCTATTCATATCAGAATTAATATATAAATAATATTGATGAGTACATAATAATCTATTCTCTAATTGACTCAAAGACAAAGATGTATATTTACTCACCTCTATGATACAGGTTTGACGGTCAAACGGATAATTGGTTAAATTGAGTTCACATGAAGTAGGGAACAGACTTCCGGGAGCCCAACCAGTTTCACCATTGTGTAGCATATAAGTTGGTCTGTGTTACAAAAAAAAGTTTCAGATCATAGTTGACGGAGGTTTATTTATAAAAGAAGGAATTAATTGAACTAATATTTCTGTTTTTTTTTTGTTTTTTTTTTGTAATCAATTATTTATAAAATTATATAAATATATTGATAATTCCCACAAACTCACTTTAACTAGATTTGTGTTGATGGGTGAATATTTTTAATATCTCTTCCTAATACTAATCTGCTGTTAACTTATAGTCACATTATGTTCCATTATGAAAGCATGAGAGCAACTCATTTGTAAAAACATTATGGCTGCTAGTCTACACTCTTGGTTATCAACAGCTCATAACCCAAGAAGGTGAACCACGAAACAAAGAAACACAAACAAAAGACCCACCTCAAGTTGATTTTTAGAAACAGTTAACCGGGGAGAGGGTGGGGGGGGGGGCAAGGGAAAGGAATTAGGGAAAAATCTTGCGGGTTGCCGCCCATGGTTTGCCTTGTAAAATTTAAGGTGAACCACGAAACAAAGAAACACAAACAAAAGACCCACCTCAAGTTGATTTTTAGAAACAGTTA